TAAAAATACAGCAATTTTAGAGAGCAATCATATGCTTCATTCCTTACCCTAGGTGGCGCGAAAGGGTAGTCAAGCGGAAAGTGGATGTCTACTTTGAAAACACCACTCTCATAGGGTGAACCTTTTGGCCCCGTTATGATAGCTTCCCAGTGATACAAGTCCTCACCCACAGGTCCTAATGAAATCGGCAAACCACTAATTAGGTAGACGATGTAAAAGACCGACCCTGTAAAACTAAAACTTAATTAATGCCCTATTTTCAAATTAACCATCAAATACCTGTACTGAAACATGGACTGTTTTTCCTCTCCACTTACTTCAATTGCAATGAGATCACTTTCGCAGAGTACATGTTTAGAAAGTAAGTAACTTTTGCTGTTATTAACTTTTGCTATTATCGGAAACTTGTTTCACTGAAGAAGGCAGGGGACAGTTTTTATAGAGGACGACCGGAAAAACATTAAAAAGTAAAGAAGGGAAACGAGTCGGTCAAACGATGTAAAAGGTTTCAAAAAAGGTACTTAACTAGTTTTTGTCGTTTCCAATTTGATTTTTTTGAACTCAGACACTGGTTTCATTATTGCGATTTTCAAAATTGTAATGACTTGTTTTTTGAAAAAACCGTTTACTCGTGTTGTCCTGTCCTACAATTTCAATTCAAAGACACGATCATTGTCCGTTTTCTATATAATGTTTCTCTGCTATAGAACCATGTCTTTGATAATTATTTTCATCCAGAACCATGTTTTCATAAAGTTTTCTTTCTCTGCTATAGAACCATGTCTTTGATAATTATTTTGATCCAGATCCATGCCTGTGCTAATTATTTTGATTCCTTAATAAGATAAAGCCTAAAGCCTTCATCGTAAACCCTAAGCCCTAAACCCTAAACCCTAAACCCTAACCCATAACGTCCATAACATAGATTTATATGCTAAACCATATAAATGTAAACTTATACATAAGCTATAATGCAAATACACTATATGATGTAAACTGATTGATGTTGTCCACCATCACAGTGTACACAAACAGTGTCCACCGTCAAGGGTGTACACGCTAGAAAGAAACCCGAAAAACATAGCAATATGTCCACCGTCTAAACCCTAAACCCTGACCAGTAAACATCATAAATTTCATAACAAATTAAACATAGTTCATGCCTTTTCAAGTTTAAATATAGGGAAACATAGTGTACGCTACAAACAAACCCAAAAAACAAAGCAACATCCCCACAAAAAAACATCAAGACACACACAAAAGCCACACCCGGTCAACCCAATGGTTCCTTGCATTTTGCCCGGTTATGGCCGGCATTTCCACATCTAGAGCATTTGTTTGGCTTCTTTTTTTTCGCAACCTGCAACAGCGTATATCAGTAATCATTAATCAGTAATCAGTATCACTGGGAAAAAAAATATATGTTTAGTGTACAGTAACCTGAGGATACTCTCCTGCTGAAAGTTTTCTCTTCGTCGTAGGCCTTCCTGATGGACGTTTTGCCTTAGGTGGCATAATATTAAGGTCACGCTCCTCTGCTGGGATACGAATGTCGTCAGGGTCGGGCACTGGTAGGATTTTGCCACAAACTGTTGCACTCCAAATTGATTTCTTAAGAATTGGATCAACCAAACTGCTGTACTCCATTTGGTGAAGCCTAGCCGCGGCCATTGCATGTCAGCAAGGGTATTTCAATGTCTGAAACTCTAGACATGAGCATGTTTTGTTTAGGAGATCAACATGCCTCCGTACACCGAACTCAGAACTCACTTCAACCTCCCACAAAGAAATGCCTTGAACTGAAAGTGCAGCAGATTTTTGCTGCTGCAGGTTCATTAACTTGTCAACCTCTTCTGTAATGTCACCATCCATCTTTTGAATGGTCTCTCTTCTGCATTCAAGCCACCTACTTAACATTCGCCTGATAAATTCTAGCATTGCAACGATTGGACTGTCTCTTGGAGCTAATAGTGCATTGTTCAAAGACTCTGCAATGTTACTGGAGGTCATATTATACCTCTGACCAGAAAAGTGTGATCTAGTCCACAGCGCAAGAGGGATTTTTTCCATGTACTCCCAACAACCATAATCAACATCCTTCAGCCTTGCGTATAGTTTCTTGAAATTAGAAACTGTGAACGCTTCTCCAGCCTTTCCGACCAACCCTTTCTGACCGGAACCTTTGTATTTAGCGTGAACATTTCTCTGGATATGGACAAGACATGCACCGTGGTGTGACTGTGGATACCATTTCTTTTTAGCTTTGGCAATTCTACCGTGCCTATCTGAGATAATAGTAAGATCAGAGGAATCTGGAATTATTTCTAACAACTTCTCAAAGAACCACCTCCACGTCTTGTCAGACTCTGCATCAACAACGGCGAACGCTATTGGAAATACCTGGTAATTAGCATCTTGTCCACTGGCCGTTAATAGACAACCCTTATACTTACCAGTGAGGTGAGTCCCATCAACAACAACTACTTGTTTCAAATGTTTCCATCCAGATATACACGCAGCCAATGCCATAAATACAGACTTAAACCTGGTAATACATTTTCCTTCTTTTTCATCTCTCTCGCTCTCAGTTATCAAATGCGTTATGGTGTCGGGGTTAGCATACTTGAGCACATGGAGGTAAATCGGTAATAATTTGAAAGAAGTCTCCTCTGTTCCGTGAGCAGAGTATATAGCCAGCTCCTTAGCTTTCCAGCATTTCCAGTACGAGGCTGTAATATTATATTCGGAGAGAACAATCGCAGGTAGCTGACTCGCACGTGGCCCAACTATTGCATTCTCATACTTAGACTTCAGCAGAGCCGCCATGACTTTAGAAGTAGCATGTTTTGAAAATTTCTTTCTTGTAACCGGGTGGCATGTATGCTTCAAACACGCCTTCCTCACCTCATACAACGCCGACTCGCCAACTTGACACCCCAACACTCTCCAATCACATATCTTTGATGGACATTCGGCGACTGTGTACTTCTTCGCATGCTTTTTGAATTTGAACGTCACTATATTCTTCAGCGCATTGATGGCCAACGTGATTTTAAAGTGTTCCTTGTTCCTGAACTTTTTCCCAACCCATATCTCTCCATCTTCATTTGACAAATCAAGTTCATCGAAATCCCCTCCCATTTCATCAGAGACTGGTGCCACATCCGGAAATCCATATAGTTCTGTACGTTTAATCGCTTTCTTCAGCTCTGCACCGCCATTCAGACGCCCCCAACTGACATCACCTGTCGGAGTCTGCACAAAATCATCATCATCTCCATGGTGAGCCAGAACATTCTCACATACAGTCCTCTTTCTTCCAGGAAAATGAATAGGACTCTCCGTTAAGACAATGGAGTTGTCCATATGGTTTGAATCACTCGGCTCACTTCCGCGAGTACTTCCACAACCGCCTGAACTACCGGAGTCATCTTTATCCTCATCAAATCCAGGTTTAGAATGGAAACCCTTTCCATCTGCTAGTACGTAATCATTCCACCAGTCAAAATCATAATCCGGATCATAATCATCATCAGAGCCGTGTGCGTCATCGTCAACATCATCAGCTTCCTTCTCTTCCGAATCTCTCGCCTCGTCTGATTCCTGGGACATTTTTAATTCCAACTCAGGGTGGTCATCAGAGACAGCGTGACTTGGAACATCCAGTTTTACATTAACGGAGGTGTTAGTGCTGGCCTTAGCCTCTACTTTCTCTGATTCCTGGGACATTTTTAATCCCAATGGAGGATGGATAACAGAGACAGCTTCAAGTTGTACACCTTTGGAGGTGTTCATTGCGGCCTCTGCCTCTATTTTCTCGGCATGTGCTATCAGCAAACAATCATCGATATCTTCATCATCTGCTTCATCATCGGGTTGACTAGACTCTGCCGAAGAAGAGGCTATGAAGTTTGTTGGCCCTAAGGACTTTCGCCGTTCCCTCGCAATTTGAACTTCAAGACTTTCCTTCCGTTTCAATCTCACCATTTTACCATTTACTGACTCCTTGAATGTGACAAATAAATTCACAGACTTGTCAGACTTATGCAGCGAAAGGAAGAATTTGTACTCTCGAGGAGTAACTATTACACATGGACAACTCCCATCACCATTAAGCTCAGCTAGAACATCATCAAACCAGTAGGAAATCTCCACCGAAACTACTCTCGTGTCTAATCCGAACTCATGCGCAATCAGATTTCTCAAATCATCTGGTCCGGACACATCTTTGCAATTTATGCACCTGCCACGACGAGATATGTCCATTTTGAAATCCCATTCTCCTGTATAGTACCTTATCCACGTTCCTGCCATAACAAGAATGAACGCATCCACTGCAATTCGCGAACACCATATCTATAAAACTACTGGCAAATGGCGAACACCAGACCGAAAAAAAATCGAAAATAACAATGACAAATCTATGGGTGTACAATAATAGGATTAAGTAACTAACCGTGGTTGTTGTCCTCTAGATCATCGCATAATTTCCCCTTCAATTTCAACATCTTCTGGAAAGGGAAACTAGGGTTTCTAATTTGGTTAGGGTACTTTGTTTCTTATTTTAACCAATTTATCTCCATTATCCCTAATTAACCACAATTTTTGCCGCCAAAATTAAAAAGGGAATGGAAATGGTAGTTTTTCGTGTAATTACTTGGATAGTTTCCGGCCCATAACCGAGGCCCAGTTAGGTGGTTTTTGGGAATTTCATTCCTAAATACGAAATCAGGCCCAAAAAACGACCCAAACACGCGCGTGAGTGCTCTCTTCCCGGCTGATATGCGCGCGGAGGTAGACTACGCCTGGGACCCACGGTATTTTCTGCCTCTGTCTCTCTCTGAAGAACAGACTGCTCTGTTTCTCTCTCTCAGAAAAAAGGTAAATTTGCCATTATGAAAATATGTCCCTACTCCGACTAATTAAAACTTAAAACTTCATTTTCCTCAAATTAAAACTTAAAAAGTCAACCCTATATAAATTCTCCCAAAAACCCCATACTCTCTTTTTCCTCTCACTGCCTTCCATTTCCGCTGCTCATAAACCCTAACTTCCTCACTTCTCAATTTCTTCCTCGATTGTTAGCAATGGAGTTCTGGGGTAAGAATATTTTCCATTTCATTCATTTGATAGTTAATTTTCTAGAGGCTTTTTTTTTCGAGTTTTATAGTATCTGTTTCAAACCCTCTTGAGATTTTGTTAGATGTTTATCTCCTGCTTTCTTTTGTGTGTATACATCTATGTGAATTTAGGATTTTTGAGTTTCATGATTCTTACAGAGAAATGATGTTGATTTTACTTTAATTGATATAATCAGGAGTTGAAGTTGAAGCAGGGAAGCCACTTAAAGTGACGCCTAAAGAAGACACTCTTGTCCACATCTCTCATGTGAGTAGTAACAAAATTGCTATTTGATGATTTTTGATTCTGAGATGTTTTTGAGGTGAGTGTAAGAATTTTGGTTTTGTAGGCATCGCTTGGGGATTGTAAAAACAAGAAGGGAGATACTGTGCCTTTGTATGTGAAAGTTGGGGACAAGAAATTTGTTCTTGGTACTCTTGTGTCTGGGAGCATTCCTCAGACTAGCTTTGATATGATATTTGAGAAGGAATTTGAGCTTTCTCACAACTGGGGAAAAGGAAGTGTCCACTTTGTTGGTTTCAAATCTCACAACATTGAAGATTAATATCCTTTGATTGATTCTTGTGTAATGTTTATGCTTTGAGTGTCTCTTGACTTGAATTTTCCTGTGTTTCCTTAACTCCTAATCGGTTGTGTTTTCACTGAGGGAGGAGAAGACTTTTCTGGTGAGTTTGCAAGATAAATCTCTGTTTTCTTTCTTACCGCAATGTTGGTTTGGTTGCTGATGACTGATTATATGTCTTTATTTGACAGATTCAGAGGAAGAAGTGGAAGAGGAAGAGGAAGAGGAAGTTCCTGCCTTGGTTACCGCTAATGGCAATGCTGCCAAGGCCGTAGCAAAACCAAAGGGCAAGCCTGCAGAAGTGAAAAAGAATGCGAAGCCTGAAGCAGATGATGATGATGCTGAAGAGGATGAATCCGATTCTGATGAAGGAGTAAGTTTCTGTACCGTATTTTGATTTGTCTCTTTGTTCACAGTAAGTTTCTGTAGCGTATTTTGATTTCTGTAGCATTTCATATACCATTTAGGGTGATGATGATTAGGAGAGAAGACCGATTTTTTCGATAAAATGTTGGTGAAAAAGTTCTAAAATGATGAGTTTCTTTTGTGTGCAGATGGATGTTGATGAAGACGATTCTGATGATGAAGATAATTCAGAGGAAGAAAAAGAGGAGACACCTAAGAAGGTAATATATTTTAAGTCTCTCCAACACTTTTGCTTAATAGTTTCTTTCTACATGATTTTCTTTCTCAGTATACTTTTTCATTTGATTTGGTTTTAATAGCCTGAATCAAGCAAGAAGAGAGCAAATGAAGCAGCTCCCAAAACACCTGTGTCTGCAAAGAAGGCTAAAGCTGAAGTTACTCCTAAGAAAACAGGTAACGATAGAGCTTTTCCTTTTAAAAGCATCACTTAAATCTCAAATGAAGTAGCAAACAATTTGTGAAACATTAGTACTCATTTGAAGATTTCTTTGGCACAGAGGAGAAGAAGAAAGGTGGACACACCGCAACGCCCCACCCGGCAAAGAAAGGTGGGAAAACTCCTACAACTGCAACCCAGAGCCCCAAGTCAGCAACTCAAGTCTCCTGTGGTTCATGCAAGAAGTGAGACTATCTCTCTCTCTCTGTCTCTCCAAACTCCCTCTGAGCCCAATATTTCTACTTGTAATAACAATTCTTGTTGGCTGTGTGGCAGGACATTCAATTCAGGGAATGCACTTGAGTCTCATAACAAGGCCAAGCACTCTGCTAAGTGAAGTGGTTTCTTAAAGCTATCAACTTCCTCTGTTTTGGGTTTTGAGTAGGAAGATTATGATAATTTTGGAATTTTGCCTGTAGTCTTTATGAACCTTCGGATGTCTGTCTCCTTTTTTCTTAAACGGGTCTTTATCAAAAACAGAGCAACTTGGTGAAGTATTACACTTTCATTTATACAGCCACAAATATATTTGCCTCAAGTTTCCACATTTATTGATCTCGACAGGTAAACTAAATTTTTTATGCAGTTTAAGTTTAATAAAGTTCACAAAATGCATAAGAATCTCTATATTATTTTTTAAGTAGACACTTATAAAAATTAACTTTTATTTTGTAGATTATTACATAAAATGTCATTACAAATAATAAAAAATAGTTAAAATAAGAAAAGATATAATTGTCTTTCAAAATTATTAAAAAACATATGGAAAGTCTGTGTTTATCATTTAATAGAGTATATTTACTATTTAATTTTTAAATATAAAATATTACATTTTTATATTTTTATTTCAAAAAATATTATTTAATATATTTAATTAAAAATAACATGGAAAAAATATTTTTTCTCAATTGTTCAAATGTGAAAAATCAAAATTTAAATTTATAATATTAAAAAAATGTTGAAATATTTTTTTTACTATAATCTGTTATATTTTACATGATAATATATAAGTTTTAAAACTATTTTTATCAAAATTTAACTTAAAAAAAATTAATTTTATTTTTTAAAAAATTAACGATAAAATGAAGTCATTAAACATTGCATATTAAAATTGATATTTTTAAAGTTATATTTACATCGAGTGAAAAACGGGTTAAGTAAACGATTTCTTCTTATATGAACGGGCTATGATTTTAATTTCTGAATATCTACAAAAACAAATATTGCAATTCAAAATATTAACTTTAAAAATAGGTGGTACATTCAATTTATTAAATATTATGATTTGTTAATGGGTTAATAAACAACTTATTATGATTTGTCAACGGGATAAATGAACAGTTTATTCCGATATAATCTCGCGTAATTAAAATTTTTAACTAAAAGTTTTAAAATTAATTTTTAAAATAATATTTAAGATATTATAATTCCACGTATCGCGTGATACACGGGTTAATTCCTAGTATATTGAGATTTTTCATTAAACACTCAAATACCATCTTATACCTCCAAATGCAAGAATCTGCAAATTCAATATGTAGACGAATGCAATCATTTTCACAAATGTCTTGCTCCTACACCTGTGAAACACAACATATACAGAAGGAGCATTTACTTCAAAGTTCAAACACATAAAGGAAACATTCTTTACCTCATAGAATCTCAGTCTCATCAGTTTCTTTCATTATCCCACGGCATACAATCATTTTTAAAACTCGCCTATTGCTCTCTCATCCCAAATACAACAGACATCTACTAGACCTACATTACTAACAACATACATACATGTTTAACAATCTGGAAACATGTCGAGATTCTTTACTCCAAATAAATTTGGTCTAAGAACTTAGAAAGACAGTCGAAAGCCTGAAAAATCTGAGCTTCGTTTTGTGCAAGATCTTTCACCCAGTGTTATATAGTAAAACATGATGTTTTAAAATGGATGTTGTATTTAGTTATACACGTATTTCATCATAACATAAATGTTACAGTCAAGACAGCATAGAGAAACTACATTCAGAGTACAATGTAATCGAACAAAGAGAAGTGATAGTACAATAGCTGGTGAAATAGCACCAAAAAAAAAAAAACAGAGTTCAATAAAATAAAGAGTAGATGTGCATGCTAGTCATGGACATCCCAAAACATAACATAGCGTATCAAAAATCATTAGATGTCATTTAAGTAATAGTAGTTTTCCGGGTATTTCGGGTTTTAGTCTGCTTCAGTAATGACTCTCAAGTGCTTGCCGTTACTGGAAAACATCATATGACCAAGGTCTGAAGATTGTGAGCCGAATCAACCGCAAGATCCTTCACCTTTTTACGATCCAGTAAAAGATCAAGGACCATGTTGTAGTTCCAATGCTTAGTTTGAAGTGTTTTTCTTTACCTTTCCACATTTCATAATTGATAATTATTTAAATGTTTTTGAAGATTTGTTGGGCAATTGTGGCTGTGGAATTGGTGACTGCGATTAGACCTATTTAAGGTCGTGAAAATGTGAGAGTATTTGTACCAAGAGTTTGTATTGAGGGCGAGCCATGATAGTCTAGTATGTGGATACCTAACTTCCTTGTGCAGAAATATAAAGTATTTGTTAGTTGACATAATAATTGGTAGCCTAATCCCAATATGAATAAACTTACATCAACTTGAACTACAGTAAAACCTTTATAAACTAATGCTCGATAAATTAATAATCACTATAAATTAATAAATTTTGCTGGTCCCAAATCGGGCCAATATAAAAATCCATCAAATTTGATAAGATAATAAGATAATAATTTTTTCGAAACCCTTATATAAATATATGGTCCTAACAAAAACATAAATTAATAATTATATAAATTTATGTAAATATATGTAAATATAATATTCTAAAATATGACTAATGTGTTTGTTTTTACTTAAAGTTGAAATCTCATTGGTTCTCATCTCTCCAATTATTATATCAGTAGATCTTATTGCTGTTTTACTATATACATTCAAAATTATGATAATTTTTTGATGTGATAATTGATTTTTTTACATGTAAATTTTTTTAAATGTATTGTAGTATTATCTTCAATTTTATCATCACTAATACTGATAGTAGCTATTATTTTTTTTTATAAATTTTAAACTTATGAACATATATATTTTTACATGGACAATCCAATCTGGTGTTAAAAACTATTTTATTATGATAGTTAATTATGATTATTAATTATAATTTATATTATAAAATTTGTTCAAATTTTAAAATATAACATTATTCCAAAATTTTTTTTTAAAAAATTATATACAAAAAGCAATTTTTCTCTATAAATTAATAATTATTAATTTATAAATAAATTAATATCACGATAAATTAATAAAATATTATGGTCCCAACGTTATTAATTTATAGAGGTTTTACTGTGTATATGGTAACTGACATTTCAAAGTTCAATGGGTCTAAGAAGGTAACGACATTTCATGTCCCTAAAAAATGTGCATTTCTTTCATGTCCCTAAAGAATGTGCATTTCTTTCATGTCAATTATCAATCACATGACTATGCCTCAAGATTTCTCATCAGAATTTGCATTGCCAATAATGGCCAGTCGCCACGTTCTCCCACTGTATATATTACACCTAGTTAGTTTAGCAGATGTTCAAAAAAAAAAAAGTTTAGCATATCCATGAACCAAACTCAAGAGAAACAAATGAGCAGAAATCAGTAAAATTACATTTACCATTCTATGGTTTGTAATTTCAACTATGGTTTAAAACAGAAACCTGATGTCCACCATCAATATCAGTGTCTTAACAGCACTAAATTACAAATCTTTAGAGTCCTACACATCTCTAAGAGAATATGATAATTACACAGACACAATGGTGAGAATAATCTAACCCAAAGATTGAGACAAAAAGCAGACTCTGGTTGAAACACAATCTCTTCAATCATAGTTTCATCAATGTCTCTTCGAGTCCAACAACGTCGACTACACACGCGCTAGAGCATCTTCGGAATCCCAGGAGTTCCTTGAAGATGATAGACTCTTGTTTCATCCTAGGACAACCCAGACGCAGAGTAAGTTTCTTGAGGACTGTTGAATTCTCAAGGAAATACCTTATTAGTTCCATTTCTACTCCAAATCCACTAATTGGTTTTCTCATCTCCACGTGCTCTAGACATGATCGCAAACACAAAGGCACAGAAGATGAGAAGCTCATTTGCTCATCCTTCTTAATGGAACCATTCAGTTCCTGCAAAAATATAAGATCATTAAGAAAAATCTTTTTCACAAACAAGTAAACACATCCTAATTAGACCAAGAAAAAACCAGCACCAAGACGAGGTATTTGAGATTCGGACAGCTCTCGAGAAGGTCTGGCAACATTTCCAAATCCACAGCAAAGATTTTAGCATGCAACTGGGACATGTAACAAAACTGAGGTAGTGGTTCTAATTTACAGTAGTGACGGATAACCTGAAAAAAAAAAAACCAAAATTGATCAATCAATGAACCAAGATTCACATGTCCGATTCCTCTTCATTGACATTATCTACACACCTTGAAAGTTTTCCAACATATGGTCATATCCCTGACACTCGAGATCCTTGCGAGAAAACAACCAATGCTACTTCTCTTTCCCGAGTCATTAATATTTAAAACATCTTTCACATTGAAATCGACAGCAATATCCACCTCAGCAGATGAGCACAAGCTGTTTACTATAGTAAAGCTTGTCGATTGGTTGTCTTTAATACTCAAATACTTGAGTTTAGGAGCATCAATCACAACGTCACTATTTGCCCAACGGTTACGGTGAAGTTCAGCAACATCAAGAACCAGAATGAGTCTGTTTATAGTCTGAGAGCAAACTCGTAAGACCTTGACGTCATCTTGGCTTCTAATTACGCTCAGATCCTCAAGAACTGGACAAGACGCGACAAGGGTCTCTAAAGCCAAGTGATTCACGAACCTGACTTCTTCTAAATGCATGGTTTTAAGACGAGGTAAAGAGACACGTTCGAAATCGTTCAAGGCCACGAAACGGAGTCTTAAGCAAACCAGAGTCTGGCAGATGAAGATGTCTGTAGAAAGAAGCTCAAACCCTAAATATCTTTTAGCATAATCAATCTCGAGATGCTGGATATTACGCTTGACCGCTGCGTCGACCCATGAATTGATAGCAAATGGGCTACATTTCTCCCTCTTTGAAGTGAGCTTGAGCTTGAGCTTCTCAATAGGTGATTCCACGGAGAAATCGATGAATCTGTCGACGAAACTCACGAATGAGTCGGAGTTTGCGAACTCTTCGTCGTCTAGTTCCAACTCGGAAATCGAAAGCCAAATATATCTCCATTTACTGGACAAAAGACTTGTCTTGACCGCATCTTTTGTAGGAAGATTCGAGAGTATCTGACAAAGAAGTGGATCAGGTAATAAGCTTATTCGATCTTCTCCACCATGTCTACGACCTTCTCTTTTACTACTCACTGGCTTCTCCGTTAGAAAATCAATCATCTTCTTCTCACACACCTTGTCTGTATCACGGAATCAAATTGGAATTTTTTACGGAAATTTGGATAACGATATACGAAATCCACATCCACGTTAACAAATTCGATTATCGAAATTCAATATGAGCACACGAAGAGACGAACATATAGATACTAAATCACGGAAAATTCATACGAATACGGAAAAGCATATAGAAATAGAAAACCGAAATCAATCGATCACATCGATGAATCTAGCGGAAGCGAAATCGAAATCAAGCGATCGCAAAACAATTAAGAAATTGGAAAATTTTAAAAACTCACCGTTGATTCTCGCCGCCGATGATGCCAGTATTATCGCTCTATGTTACTTTATGAAAACGAAATTTGCATTAGGATTGCGTTTTTGTTTTTTTTAAAGTAAATCAAATTAGAGAAGAAGTTTCTTAACTCTCTTCCCCTTTCTCGCTAGAAATTATCTAATGGATATTTTATATATTAAATAAGAATACAGTTTAATAAAAAAAATTTAAGATGTTTTAATTTATTGGTTTAAAAAACAGTTTTTGTTTATATCAATAATGACAATGATGATTTTTATTTCATGTCAAATGTGACAGAACAAAAACGCTGATGTGGATAATTCTGATTGGTTTCAGTTTAATAGAAAAAAATCAAATTAATTATATTAATATTTATTAACTAAAAAAACGGATAAACACATGGATCTTTAGATTTTTTTTTATTTTTGTTTTGGAAATTATTTAACTAATTGCAAATATATTCAAAATTTTAAAATTTTCATTAAATTCGAAATAATCAAATTAATGCAACTCTAAGAAAAATTCTAAATGATAAATGAGATATTAAGTTTAAATACATTTTAAAATTAAATAAATATATTAAATTTTTTTTACTATTATCCCTATTTAATTTTAAAATTTATGTATTTATTAGTTAAAAATAATTTTATAATTAAATAAATTAAAAACAATAATTAAATATTTGCTTATTTGGCTCTCAAAATTTTAAAATTCATATAAATAAAAATAATATAAAAAATATCTTTAAGATCTGATTTTAAATTTAATAAATTTCAATTAAAAAAAATAAATTTAGTTTCAATTACTTAAAAAATATAAACAGTATAAAAAATTAGTTAATAAAAATGTATTAAAGTATACAAATCTACATATTTCGATATCCCTGCATATATTTAATAAAAAATATATATTTAAATATATTAATTATTAATCTAATAAGATATTATTGTTTCCTAAAATGGAGGGATTATTTCTTAAGATATCATATATTTAATGCTTTTTCCATAAGATTAAATCTATAAAACTTAATTATATGTTGTATATACTATTTGAATCTTTTCCAGCAATTCTTTTTAATTGTTATAACTCTTAAATTTTTAAAATATTTTTAAAATTATTATGTTTCCTTTTTTGTTGCTATTAATGGCGTTGTTAATGATTTTGAAAATTTTAAAATATTTAAACAATAAATTCGTAACAAGAATTGAGATATAAAATCTGCATCTAATCAATGAATATTTTGATTTTGTTTTTAAAATTGATAAACCTAAATTTTCTTATGTATACGGTTACCTCCTTATAAATCCTATATATTAAATGAGAATGTAGTTTAATAAAAAAATCTTAGGAGTTTTAATTTGATTGGCTTAAAAAATGGTTTTGCTTATGTCAATGATGATGTTTATTCCACGTCAACTGTGACATGGCAAAGACGCTGATGTGCAGAATTCTGATTTGTATTTATATTCTACTAATTAAAAACGGATAAACACGCGGATCTTTTAATCCGACCCAATTAAAAATGGGTGGATCTTAATTATCCGACCTATTATATCCATGAATACATTTAAAATATAAAATATAAAATTTGGAAAGTATTAAATTATAGAATCATTATCGGCATATCCAATCTTCTAAAATGATTTGATGGTTTAAAAGATAAAAATATCGAAACAATATATTTCTAAATGAAAAATCAGATTGCATGATTTCCTTGATTTTCACGAGATATACTCGGTGGATGGACAACAACAAATATTTGTAGGATTCACTTTCTCATAATTCTTCGACAGTACTTCAAAATTAAAATTATATTTAACTTAATAATTTCAAAAATACTCTATAAAATTTCAATCTAATCAATTTAATTCCATAAATTTCGCAACAAGCTAACCATTGAAAACCCTAAATCGCCACTCTCTCTTCATTGTATATAAGATCTCACTATGCTATTAAACGCAACATTCATCTTTCACGTTTTATATGTATATTTTTGGTTTCATTATAATTTTTGATTTTCTATAGCGTATTTGTTTAAGTGTATGCCTCTCTTTGTATATATATCGTTTATAAATTCATTTGGTTTTGTTTGAGTTTGTAGGGATAAAACGATACAGAGAACTCCTGGCAAATCATTTTTTCTTGTGTATTAAGAATTCATATTCTATTTCTGACCGCTCAACTTTAAGTTGCAATGAAAATGTTGAGGTACAAATCTCATTGCTTATCATTAATTTGGTAAAAAAAGAATGTTTTGTTGTTTAATAATTTTCTGTATTTTTTTTTTTTGTTTTTCTTGCACAGATCCGATCGTGTTCAAACCATTTGGGAAGGAGACAAATGAATTTTTCTCCAATCATCCTTGCCGTTTATTTTTCATTCTTCTTTGCTTTTAGGATGGTAAGAAAGAGAACAATTACCACGAACCAATCTCCCCACAAATTCCATTCAAAGATCGATTATTTTTGAAACGAAAACTACTGCTTTCATATTCAGTTATATTGGTTTTCAATTTGTTGCAGTCAATTCTCAATCCATCCAAATATGAATAGACGTTCCATGTAAATGTTGCTTTTTGTTATATCTCTGTTTTTTATTTGTTGTAGGCTGTTTCAAGTCTCAATCCATCCAAATATGAATAGTTTTCCATGTAAATTGAAGGTACTACTAATTTGCAAAATTAGAAACTCAAGTCTCCAAATTTTTTTTCATAATGTTGCTTTTTGTTTTAACTCTTTGAAATATCAATATATGTCATTTTTCAGTTGTTCGTGGAGACCAACAAAGCTAGTGCCACACCGATTGGACAAATAAAGACAGCCATTTAATTGAGGAATAAAAAAGGTGTGATCAAGTGCAATGTAAGTTAGAAAATTTCTTACACGTAATTTCTGCAAACTTTTTTTCTTTATGGTCTTTGGTGTAGTTTTTTGTATGGGATTTTTGTTTTCTACTTATTTTCTCAGCGATTATATTGGATCAAAAAATAATTTTCACTTTTGTAAGCAATGTCTTTGTGATGTTTCTCTTATATTTACTTACTGAAGTTTTCTGATGGGTTACGGGCCTAGGGTAGTTTTTTATAGAAGCCCAATGATCCATAAAGCAAATTTTAAATTTATAAAACCCAAAAATCTGAAAGTGCACAGATGTACATTGTAGAATTTAGGGTGTCGATCTACATAGCAGATATCTAATCTAAACTGTGAAGTAAGCAAAGTCATAAACCAATAAAAACTTTAGGGTTTTTGGTTAAGAATCTTAAACTAAACCTAATCTAATATTCATAAGAAATAAAATGCAATGCAGGATGAATTGTTAAAAGAATATCTCAAGCATATCGACTCAAACTCTATATCTAAAACTCATACGTATGAATATTTCCAATTATGGTGACATTTCCAATTAGCTTCCGAGCGATTTATCTTCATCTGTTTCTGGAATCTGCATTGGAATTATAATAGACATATGTATGATTAACCAACTCTCGCCATCTTAATCAACTAATCACTTAAATCTGACAATTAACTGTTGCTCTCATGCTAGAAATAAGATCATGCATTAGACATTGAATTCGTCTGCTCACATCTTCTCTATAGGTAGCATTAGACATTGAATTCGTCTGCTCACATCTTCTCTATAGGTAGCTCTCGACTCCTATAGCGACTATGTTCTTCTGAAGCTAGGTATGGATGATCTGATACAACACTCTCGTGGCTCTGATCGAGCATAGGCTCAGAGAATATGTCATGAATCTACTCTCATGCATTATGAACAACTTAGAAGAGATGAGATCCAAAATATGGTTTAGAAACTTAGAAATCCTAATTGATATATATGTGCTCATCGATGACTCTTCAAACAATTTGACTCTCTGGGACATATCTACATGATGCAAGGAATGATAGAATACATGAAAGAATGCCAAAGATGAAACAGAAAAGTTAGTAGAAAAGAAAGGAGAAAGAACAATGGATCTGGAGAAGAATCCCCATCTCCATCGCCTAACCCTAGAAAAACAAAGTTTGGTGGCTCAAAATCTCATTACAGGAGCATACACCCGTTTAGGGCTGCTAAGAAATGTATTTATAGGTCCTAAGGTCTTCCAGGTCTCATTTAGGGCTTCTCTGAAGAGAAATGGAGAATTGGGCCTTGATATTGGGCCTTGTGGCTCGTCCTTAGGTCCACCCGGGGGTGAGAATCTTCCAGGGCAGGTAAACTGTAGTTTTCCCGCGGGCAAGAGTCTTCTGGGCCGATAAACTGGGTCAACTTGTTCTCCATGTATCTTTTGATTGCACCGTTAGATCTTCATTATGTAAAGTGTCATAGAAAGCTGGTTGTCTCCTCTTGATTGTATACAACTTTGAGCTGAATCAGACGGTGAGAAAGTATTCATTTAAGGCTAAACTTCTGACGGACTGACTCTGAGCTAAAAATGTGGATTTCTTCCAATTTGCCATCATTTTTCCTAAGTTTTTTGAAAAGAGCCTTGAAACCACAAATACATAGAGAACACAATAAAAGTTCCTAAAACTGATTAAAACCTTTGAAAAAGCATTTGAAATCAATGGTGAAAATAGATACAAATACGGTGTTATTAACTCCTCCAGACTTAGACTTTGTTTGTCCTCAAACAAAACAAGATCAAATCTGGAAAAATATCATTCAACAAAAGTGAGAGGGAACTCAAAAATATCAGCAACCATACTTCTAGACCTTAATTATGGACAGTGCATCAATCAGATCAAGTCTAGAAAATTCTCACCAAAATACAAACATAACTAGTCCGTTAATCCGTCATGCAAAAATCCACACACTTAGAACTAACTTCTAGTCAACTAGGTCTTAACATTCATTAAATGTTTCAGTGATTCTCATCAAAAAGATATTAAACAAAGCATTCAAGGTTAGGTATCAAAAAGGCTTTTTAAGGGTAAGGTTTGATGTGTTTAGGGTTACCTTTTTTCTGGAG